GTATTGAGGTATGGCAACTTGAACTGACGCACATATATGCCTGGTCCAATGTTGTAGCTGACTGACTGACTGACTACTAACCACGAATATACACCGAATTTTGTAAGATAAACATTATTGGTTATGTACTGAATGATATTTTAAAAAATGGATAATCATTAAAGAGTCTTGTGATTGCCTAATTTGATTGAATCAAGTATTAAATTGAAATTATAAAGTACTTTTAACTATTCTACATCTTTATTCAAGGACAATTTTTCATAGTGTACAAGACACATGAAAACAATATCAACACAGATGAATTATCTATTGTCTTTTTTTATGAAAAAAAAAACATCTTAATATCACGAATTGATCAGGTTGTAAATTATTTTGGTGAATGGCAGTACACCTAAATGTTCTGGTACGGCCGACAGTGGGGAGAGTCAGCTCTCACTCTCGAAATGCTCTCACATTGCCACGTCCATACAACTACTGCCTTCCCGCATCATGGGTGTTGTTTACGAAATTGAGAGGATGAAAAGTGAATATCCGGTGCTTTAACCGGGTTGGTGGACACAGAGAACCCACCTAGGGAAGTTGGAAAACCCTCATTCAAAACCAATGATGCACATGGGCTCCAATATCCCGAAGATACAAATGGCGTGTGAACCTATTATTGGTTACTGGCTATTATAGGATTGCATCTCCTGACATTGCTCCACTGCCCTGTGGATCAGACCTTCAGGTCCGCCTCGGAAGACTCAAAGCCAGGACCCACAGGTTTCACGCGCGAGCACTTAACCGCTAGACCACTTAGCCAGCCGGCATCCAACGGAGTTAATGTCTAATTTCAACTAACTCACGAAATTGAGCGACACACACACCATTGTCATCAGTTAGTTATTATCTCACAACAGACGCGGTTGAACTCCACTGGTCATTACTCTTCACTAAAACTCCAAGATATACATCTTGAAGGGTGTACATCTGCTGAGGAGTCCCACAATAGGACGAAACAACCGTCCAGTGCTTCCATGTTTTCCATGGTGATCTAGCTTCAACTGACTCATGATGTCAACAATTGAAATTACTACAATCTCCACAAAACTCCTACTGATATTAAATCATATTACTATAGAAAGATTTTAGTGATTACATTGTGTATTGATTTTTCGATAGTCAATCAAATAGATAATCAATATTCAACAGGTTAAAAGCTAACACGCAATACTTAAATGTATCAGGTTCAATTATTGATAAGGGTAGGGGATACACTCGATTAAAGTCTCCAGGGTTTCAACAGTTATTTGAATAATATCGGTGCGTGTTATAATCTAGAAAAAAAATGGGAATAATAGTTCAATTTATTCACTTACAATGTTTAAAAGAAGAGAACAAAATTAACCAAAACAGAAAGAAGCTTACATTTACCCAATTGAGAGTTAATATGGATGATGGATTAATTTATTACGTGAAATATAGATTATGAGAATACAATCAGTCGGTTACAACGTAAGACCAGGTTCAAGTTGCCATACCTCATTAACATAATAAGATGAACACCAAATTCATAGGAGAAGTTAATTCAATGGTAGTAATATATAAAATAAAGATTGTATGTAAGGATATTGTACAGGAAGAAAGAATTAGTTCGTAGAAAGAAAGATATATAGCAACTTTAATCGCATAGTTTTAAGGAAGACAGTGAGTGAATAAACCGACGCCATTGTAATCGATTCTGAGACATGTCACCCATAGTCGCCAATCACTACTGGTTACAATGGTCGCATGGACCCCAATCAAGTAGTCTGCACCTACCAACATGAATAAGACCAGAATTTGATGACTTCAAGGACTGATGACATATTTTAGTTTGGCTGCCCCTAACTTTCTTCCAACCGTCTCCAACACTAGTCAACATTGCGCGCCGTAGTATTCGGTAGTTGAACATGTGTAACCATCTCAGTCGATGAAGATTCACAACCTCATCAACTTATTTACTATCATTCCTTAATACCTTGCGTCAAACCTCACTATTACTTATCCGGTGATCCTAGCAAATGAGAGCAATATTTCTAGGACATCCGTCATCAAACACGAGTTACTTGCGAGTATCTTGTATTCTTAATGGCCATGTTGCACTGCCGTAAAGTAGAACAGAACAAACTGGTGCGTAGTATACTCATCCTTTAGTTGACAGACAAATAACTCACATTCGCCATAGGTGACGTAAATTGGCAAAAGCCAAACGAGGTTATCGAATCCGTGCTGAGATATTATCAGTCACCAATCCATTGAGGCTGATCAGACATCGAAGATATGTGAAGTCATCGACGCATTGAACTACTTCATTCCCTTTCTTTAATTTAGATGTTGATGCACGCCAGTCCTGAAGTGGCAACTTACATTTAGAGGGGGAGAAACGCACTCCAAACATCCTAGCATTGTTGCTCAATGCTATCAAAAGACTGTGTATTTTATCAGAGTCTTCACCAAACAGGACCATGTTATCTGTGTATTCTAAGTCGATAAGTGTAGCTCCTGGAATGAGATCAATCAATCAATCAACGAGATCGTTATTTCCATCAGTATGTCTATGATGAAGTTGAACGTAAGTGGAGATAGTTGACATCCTTGACGGACACTACTTGAAGTTGCCCAATCAGATGACGGTTCTCCAGAAGCTCTGACTCGAATGGTAGTGTTCGAGTAATGTACCTTCACAAGGTTTATGTACTTCTGAGGTACACCTTTCAATGAAAGACTTTACCACAGAACTTCTCGGTTCATAGAGTTAAATGGCACTTTTAATTCGAGAAAACCTAAACCTATCTAGAACCTGACGAATGGTGAACATGTGGCCGATGCAGCGACGACTAGGTTTGATGCCATTCTGGTTTTCTCGTGTTTTCAGTCCATGAGTCTTTGTTAAGCGTCCGATAATTATTGAGGCTAGTAATTTAGATGCTAGACCACAATGGAAAGTCTGGAAGCATCGACCTGCTGTTTCTTTTTATTATAGGACTCCTCACCAGTTCTCATTCACGATCCTGCACATCGGATTCGAAGCCAGGACATTTAGTATCGTGTGTGAACTCTTAGCCTTTAGACCACCAACGGTATTAACGTCCAACGTCGACGAAATTTCACCACCATCAATCATTGTCTTCAGTGAGTCACTGACTCACGAAAGACACGGTTGAACTCTACTAGCTAAGGGTTAGAGCGCGAGACCGGAGGTTATGGATTCGAGTTCCATGAGCGGGATCGTGGATGTGCCCTCTTGAGGAGTCCTATAATAAGAAGAGACCGTTTCCAGTACTTCCAGATTTTCCTTGGTGGTCTAACTTTAATTGGTTCACGAATTTAACTATTCTATTACTATAATCTTCAAAAATTCCCCATTGTGATAAAAATTGTGTAAATTTAGTTTTAATCAGTCATTAACAAGACCCGGTTCATTTGTACATCAATTAGAATTGTTACTTATTACCAGTCACTTAAATAAAGCGGAATTATCAAGACAAATCCCAGATTGATAGATTTAGTATCGATGATAGTGATTATAATTAAACACAGATGATATACTTCATAAAGAACTATTCAATATCCCGAATGATATGACTGAAAATAGAGGAACAGATGAAGTAAGGTAATATTAATCTTAATATCAACAACTTCTAATTATAACTATTGTCTGAGTTTTAAATGCGCGTTTCGTTCTATTCGGCAATCGTCAGCTGAATGTACCTGGATCCCAGACTTGTTGGTGTTCACTCTGTTCTGGATTCCACTGCTAGCTGTTATCCACCTTTGCTTAAAAAGCTTATGACTTAAGGCTATATAGAGACAATCCGAATAGGATCCACATATATTGCTAACATGAGACAGATCAATTACATTCCTAAATAATAATGGGAAGATACAAGTAAAGCAACCATAAGTGAATAGTGGTTAGAAATAGTCAACAGGAAACTCTGGACTCGGGTTTCGTGCTTTTTGGCACTTGTCAGCAAGGTGTACCAGTAATCTTTAGGGAACTGGTGCTCTCTGACGGATTCCATGCCGTGTGGTCGATAACATTCGATCTGCACTAAATAAGGACTTGACAAACATAACATTGATAACCAACCAGTGATCAATCAATTGTGAATACATCTCATTCCTACTGAAGGTCAGTCGCGGCCCGGATAGTCCAGTGATAACGTCTCTATTTGTAAAGTTGGGTGACATAGGATCGAATCTGTCAGGGATCATCAGTTCCCTCAAGATTACAGGTACATATCACCCAGGATTTCCTATTGACTACCTCCAACTACCATTCTATCTCAACATAATGCACACAATATCGAGTCACCTAGATTAGTGGCCACATTACAACTTGATCAATAGCATTCGATTTACACTAAGAACGATTTGACACACATGACATTACTCACACCACTTAGTGGTCAATCAACTGTGAACACTTATTTATTTCAACACATAGATATTGGTACAAAGAGGCACCAAATACATATGCGCCACACAAATCTCATTCGATATGTGTGAGGGCTGTGATACTGCCCGGGTGCCCAAACCGAAGCAGGTGGTGTTCTTAGGGCACCACACCCCAAGCCTTTGACCCGAGGGTCTGATCCACAAGGCAGTGGAGCATCGTAAGGAGATGCAGTCCCATGGAAGCCGGTGACCAACAATTGGTTCATTCGCCATTTGTTCCCGCAGGATACTGGAGCCCATGTGCACCATTGGTTTGGAATCCGGTTAATGCGCCGGACATTCGCTTTTTTTCCTCTCATTTTCGTAAACAACACCCCCGCCACGAGAAGGCAGTGAGTAGGACTTCCCTGGCAGAGGCTATATACGCGTGACCATGTGAGAGTATTTGGAGCGGAAGAGCGGACTTTCCCCACCAGGGCATTTGGGGGCACTAAGTAAATGAAGAGAAACGGTTACATCTATTTGAAATAGTTCAACACAATTCAATAATAATAATGTAAAACAAAAAGAAAACTTACTTTTTGATAAATCAATAAATTTGTTGTAATTAAAATTGCTAATGGTGCTAAAAATTGTCCAATGATTAATGCTGGTATAATAGATTTAGTATAATATACATAAGTTTGATATTTAATATGAATTTTATGTAATGATAAGAATGTATGCTTTTTAGTAAATAAATTATTAGTAATATAGATATAATAATTATATACTACTAATGAATTAAAATATTGTATATAACTATTATTATTATGATGATGATCATTATTTATACTACTATTATGTGTAATATAAGTAGTTTTCAATTTTGATATAATATCAATTTGATATTGTTGTTGCTGTGGTTGTTGTTGTTGTTGTTGGGGTTGATGTTGGGGTTGTATTTCATATTGTAATTGTTGATGATATAATAATTTATGTTTTTTAATTTGTTGTATTATATTCATTAAACTATAAATTGATGCTAATATAAATAAAATTAATGGTAATAAACATAAAATAACACGAAGAAACCAAATTATTGATTTTTGTTTTTCACGATATTTTTTATTTATTGTTGTTGTTGTCGTTGTTGTTGTTGCTAAGGGTGATGTTGTTGCTGAGGCTGGTGATGATGATGATGATTGATTAAGGAATAAACGTGTACAACAACAACAAGGAGAAGAAGAAGAAGAAGAAGAGGAAGAAGAATTAAAATGATTATGTAATGTACATTTTTTAAACATATTTTTTAATAATGAAAATTTACATTGGATTAGATTACATTTCATTGAAAGGTCTGTATTATTATTATTATTATTCATAGTTTGTATTTCACTAGGCCAATGTATACCAAGTGTACGTTCTAATGCAATCCATAAAATGGCACCAATTTCTAATGTTTGTGCAATATCTATAGTCCATATATTAATTAATGATATAATTGTTAACCATGCATTTAATATATAATATTGTTCATTAATATTATATATAATAATTTGACATATACACCAACTAAGTAAACATATAGATAAACTTAAATTACTTATAGATAATCCAAGTAAACCTCTTAAATAACGACGTTGTCTACGACTACGTGGTGTATGATAATGAATTGAACCATGATGATAAGGATGATGATTAAATTTTAATAAACTAATTGATGATGGATATTTATTTAATGGAGGATTTGATATAGAAAATGAACGTTTTGTTGATGATGGTATTGTTGTAATTGTATTTGGCATGGTTATTTTATTTATTGTCTCATTTGGTATTGTTATGATTGATGATTGATTAGATAATAAACCATTAGATCCATGAGAATTTCTTTTATCTGACCATTTTTTATATAGAAAGTTGAATGATGAACATTTTAGATTATTATTATTATTACTATTGATATTATGCATAGGAAAATTAGTACTACTGTTGTTATTATTATTAGTAGTATTGTTATTAGTAGTATTAATTGTTATGAAATTATTAGAAAAACTTGAATTATTTGTTGTACATGATGGTTTAGCTCGTCTATCTAAATATAATAAACCAATATTTGCACAAAATGAACTAAAACCTAAAAATATAATAATAAACATATCAAAATGAAAATACCATTGTTCATTATGATTATTATGATCTTGATCTTGATCTTGATCATTTGATTTATGATTAAATTGATCTAATATAAAAGATTCATTTTGTAAATGATCATTATGTAATAATAATGTATCATTATGAAGCATATAAATAGTAGACAGATTATTTTGATTATGATTATGTAATATCATATTAGACTTGACAATTTCACCATAAGTTATCATTATCATTCCATAGAATTGAATAAATAAAATGAATGAAAATAAATATTCACCAATATGAATAAATGTCATCATCATTTTATTCAAGATGTATATGAAATAGATATCATAGTAACTAAGGGGTTGTCATGGCAACAAAACGACAGCAAAAAAATCTAATTTCTTTGCAATTATTCATGATAAATTGCAACGAGAATAAATGATTCCCAAATTGTTTTATTATTATTATTATTATCATTCATTATTTGGTTAATTTATAATGATGATAATGATAATGTAACACTTTTCTCATGATGATAATGAAGAAGGAAAGAATAAACAACCGACGACAACAACAACAAAAAAAAGAGAATAAAACCGGTAGTTCGTTCAACATTATTGACACATAAAACAGTCAGTCAGTCAACAACAAAAAAATATGTAAATAACCAATCAACATTAAGTTGATCTGTTTATCAATCTATCTTTTTTTAGAAGGGGGGATGTCTGTCTATCCATCAATCCACATGTATATATATATATATATATATATATATATATATATATATATATATATAGAAAGAACATTCCAATCTCATGACTAATGCATCTGGTTTTAGAAATATGACAAGGTCACAGGATTATGATTGGTTGAAACATGATACCTATATATATATATATCCTATATATTAGGATGAAAGAGCCGTCTAGTCCTTCCAGGCTTTCCATGATGACTCATGAATTCGTCTATTGAATTACTATAATATCCATAAAAACCCTTCTCTGATTATAATAATCATATGCTCACTAGTGATTAGCTTCAAGAGATATTTCTTGGAATTCTAGTGAGAAGATTTGAAATAGTAACTCACTGATGACAATGATGAACGTGTAACTCAATTTTGTGGATAAGTTGAAATTAGACATTAACAATGTTGGATGCCGGTTGGCTCAGTGATCTAGAGGTTAAGAGTTCATGCGCGAGACTGATAGGTCCTGGGATCGAATCTCACGAAGTGGGAACATAGATACGCATTGTTGATGAGTCCCATACTAGGATGTTTGTCTAGCTTCAGTTGACTCATAAATTCAATTATTAAATATATATCCACTATGATGAGTATATTTTACGGTGGTGCAACTTCGTGGATTGGTTGAAGTTAGACATGAACACTTGGATGCCAACCGCCTCAGTGGTCTAGTTGATAATGCGCCTGTCGCGAGATTGATAGATCCCGGGTTCGACTCTCTCGGGGTGCGGGATCATGAATGCGCACCACTGAGGAGTCCCATACTAGGATGAAACGACAGTCCAGTGCTTCCAGGTTTTCCATGGTTGTCTAACTTCAATTGACTCATGATTTCAACCAGTGAAATACAGAACTAAATGATAACCGTCCAGTTTCTTTGCAAGAAACAAAGAACGAAAAAGTAAAGTAAAAGTATGATGTTGTTTATACACTAAATATTTTGTTGTTTCTCTATTGATTAGTGAATTAAATGTGTAAAATAAAAACAAATACATATTTCTCCCTATTTATATTTGTAGTCATCAAGTTCCATAAATTAGGTTAAATTCCATAATCCTAGTCATTTGCTTCTTTTTTTTTCTCCTCCTAGTAATAACAATGAAAAATCATTTAAACAAGATATGAAATTGCTATTGAATTTTATTGAATTGATCGATGTTAGAACATCATGGAGAACCTGAAAACAATGAACGACCGTTTTGTCCTAGTATGCTACATGTCATCAGAGTGAATCCACGTTCTAGTAGAAAGCCTTAACTAGTCAAGTCCAACCGTGTTGGATGTAAAACAGTTGCCAACTGAAATAATGAAAAATGATTGAAGTTAGATATGGCTTACGTGAAACCGAAGGTCCTAAGTTTGGTTTCTGCGTACGGAATCGTTTATGCGTACTGTAAGGAAATCACAACATAGGACAAGATGGTCATCTAGAGCTTTCAGGTTTTCAATGACGGTATAATATTGATCGGTTCATGATGATAATGAAATTAAAATTGATTGAAACAAATTAATTAAAGAGATTTTTGACGATTATTTTAATTTGTAGATTGTATTCCTCAAAGACTGGTCTCATGACTACACAGTTGTTCAATGTTTACTGGTTTTAAATGGTGCTTCAAATGAGATGGGTTCCTGACAAATTCAACTCAAATCATTTCCCAAAATACCATTTTAACTAAACTATAATGATCATTTCGTAAGTAATTTACTTTGAAATGTTCCTTAAATTCTAATTAGAAATTTTGACTGTTGAGAATCAGTCATGCTGGGAGTGAAACAGTTGCCACTAGTTGGACAGGATGATCGTCGCATCTTAAATTCACTAAGGTTGAAACTGTACCACTGTATGCCAACCCAGTCATTCAAACTATTAATCGTTCTGCGCCAAACGTGAGAGCCTGAAATCAATCCCTGGAGGAGTCTTTAGAGTGAACTTTTGAGGATTTTCAGACTATAAAGAAATAACTGTTCATTTCTTCTTGATCTTCAACAACAACTGAACTTAGACGAATGACAACCACATAGTTACGAAACTTTTTTGAAATGGCCAATGATATGTGTAGCATCACTCTCCTTCAAGACTATTAGGATACCTTATTGATAAGTGCAAATATCACGAAACTCGGGCCTAGAGTTTCTTGTTATTCATCATTAACCAACACCTTATAAGAAAGTTAGTTATAACAGAAGCTGCTTTGAAAATGTATTATAATCATACAGTTCTTCTACCAGTGTCCTACTGTGATTTCGAAGAAGTTAGTGAAATAGAAGGAAATGTTATACACTACTTAAAATAGACTATAGAAAGAAAAAAGCTAGATATATAAATAATCCGTCTATATGATTGTACTTCCAAGTGTATTAATATTCTCAAAGATCGTAGATATATATTCCATGGAAGATCACGTTCATCACATGTTTTTCTTTTTTCAAAATCCGAACATTAAAACTAATAAACAATCTAAAACAATTCATGAATTATGTCATGGCAACATACTTTATAAATACCATCATTTTGTATTATATTATTCATATACACTTCTGCTGTTTTCTGATTGGCTGAAGGCCAAGGACCTTAGAAACTAACACCAGGTTTACCAGGATATCTGTGATAATGACGTGATATTTTACTGTGAACAGATTTACGCACTCGGCTGTAAGCCAGCCATATTATTTGAGTTTGAAGGCTAATGATAATTTCCGAATGACAAAATTCAAGTAGTTGAACTTATGACCAGCTTCGAGAGAAAATTTCCAGAGTCCTAGTGACAAACAGTGACCTATGGGATTCAACCGTATCTGGTGTGAGGAATATATCAGTCGAAGACAATGGAAGACAGACGTTCGATACTGTGAATTGATTTGGGTTAAATATTAACACTACGAAATGCCTAATCAAAGGTCTAGACGTTAGATTTTCACGCAGGAGATTGAAGCTTGCTGGTTCGATCATCCTTATTTGGGTCGTGAATGCTCACTGCTGAGGGTCTCATACCGGAACAAAACAGTTTTTCAGTGCCTCCTGGTTTCCAATGGTTGTCTAAGTCAGATCGGCTCGCGATTTTAATAAAATCCAACTATCTCTACAACCTCATACAGATAGTTGATTTAAATTTTGAATATATGATTTACTGGCTACAAGTTCATTGACGTAACCAAAGAAATCAAATCTATTTTTTAAAGATTACAATTATACCAAAATATTATGTACAACCTGTTGATGTCGATGTTGGGCGTCTACTGCATCTTTCATCTGGTTCATCTGTTGAAGATTTCCCCTGGTACTGACATTAGTGTGATGTCTTCACATTTGCTCAGATCTGAAGCGGTTTTTAAAACAGAAACTGGAAATGAATCTCCTAAGTCAGTCAGACAACGGCTCATAAGAAATAGCATTCGATCTACACTAGGAAGGACTTGGCGCACATTACATTGATCACCAAACAGTGATCAATCAATTGTGAATACATCGCAGTCCTACAGGAGGTCAGTCGGGGCCTGGATAGCTCAGTGGTAACGTCTCTAACTGTGAAGCTGGGTGACAAAGGATCGAATCCGGCAGGGAGCATCAGTTCCCTCAAGATTACGGATACACCTTGCTGACACGTGCCAAGTAGCACGGAACCCAGTCCCAGGGTTTCCTGTCGACTTCCTCCAGCCATCATTTAGTCTCAATGGAAATAACTGCACCACAATGACCAACTCCAAGTTATGTCATTCAGAATCTGCGATCATGGATTACATTCTAACCTCAACTAGATAATCTTCATCTGCTAGCAAACTTGAGGTCAACAGTCAATGAGTTCATGGTATGATCAACGAAACTATCACTTATGAACGAACCAATCAGATTTAAGATAATAGATCTTAGATTTTAATCCGAAATTTATTCACCTATTTGATTAAAAAAGCATTATGTCACTATTCATGTTAAAAATCTTAAATCTAATTCTTAACCTTAAATCATCAATTGTTAATATTAATCCTCATTCTTCACACATATTTATAACTCTTTTTTACCCTTAGTGATTAGGTGAACATTGTCAAGGTCATTAAGACATCTCTATTCATTGTATGATCTAATATCTTAGTTCAATTATTCTAAATTTTCTTTCAACTTACTCTCAATCACAATTATTCTCTATCCAATTTGATTTACAATAGATATATCTATCTATTTTCAAATTGATCCTT